GGGGTCTGGGGCTTGGGCACCAAGCCGGCCGGCGCGGCCGCCTCCCCCGCTTGGCGAGGCCTGCGGTTACGGTCTGCTTGGCTCCCTTGTGCCTCGTCGGCCAGGCTGGCGTGCGCCGCGGCTGGGGCCGTGCGGTGCCTCCGGTGCGTGACCGGGGGAGGGTGCGAGAGGCCTGCGAGGGGTCCTGCTGGCTCATCTAGTGCTTCACACCGATTACCCGAAAACTAGTTCATTACCCCGCGTTTTGTGGTGCTGTGCTAGCTCCTGCCATTTGCCAGGATCAGAAATACACAAGATAGTTCTTTTTCCTAACTCGGTACAATGATTAAATCGCAATTACTGTCCCAGAGGCTTCGTCGTCGGAGTTACTCATCCGTCGGCACACTTCCCTTAAGGCTTATTCATTGCCTGCTTTTATTGTTTGCTTGTATTAGGTACATCAGCTTACGCTCTATATGCACAAAATTCAAAATTAATTAAAGTTGAAAAGCATATATTCTACATTTTAATGACATTTTTTTCCATGACAAATAGAAAATTTAATTTCACTGTAGTCTGGGGAAATAGCTGTCATTCAGAAAATTAGATTGCACAAACTCCTCCCTCTTCATCAGAAAGCCGGAGCATGCCAGACATCTGGCAGTTAAGAAACTGAACTTAATGCCTGTATTTTAGGCAGGCAAAGGGATGTGATACCTTAACACCATCAAAATGATAATTGGAGACATCTGTCTCACTGTGCAGGTACAACGGCAGACATCTTTCTGCAAGCAAAATTTGCAGCTACCTGGCAGTTAGCTCACTGTAATCAGTCAGACTGCTCTAAGGTCATTTAAGCAAATACCCACCTGTCATACTGGTGTTTTTGCTACCAAATAGACACGGGAAACATCTGCTTCCAAGCAGGTGAGTCAGTGTTAAGAGAAACTGAATAATAATGCATTTGATTACTATTCTAGAAATTGAAATGTTTAAACGGGAAGATATTTTAAAGTGGCTACAGGATGACAAGTGGGAAGAACACGTGATTAGGAGTATTTTCCATGGGATATGACTGTGCTGTTGACAGTATTTTTCTGTCATTAAATCCTTCTTTCCAGCTGTCTTCAGGGCACAGTTGCGCGTGCTCATGAGTATCATGGACATACAAGGATACATGCCTTATTCTATGAGCTAAGTGGTAAGTTGAATTCATTGGTCTTTATTAAACTTCAGTCCTGTGGCTGACGTATTCCCATAGTGGCGTGGTGTCTCAGTTACTCTATCTAACTTCATAGTTTAATTATTAAAAAAATTAGACAAAAACACTCAGCAAGACTCCAAAGTAAAACCTTATTAGATGATTTTTTTCTTTTTCTTTTTCAAAATAAACTGCCCAAAGACAGGCAGTTATTCCTTCTTAAGAACACTTTGCCAGCACGTCTCGCAGTGGAACTGTCAGCTAGAATGTGGAATCTGCAATTGCTATTGCAGAATGGAGATAAAAAGGACAAACAAGTAAATGAGAGCTTGAACTAGTCATCATTTTGAACTAAATGCAAAGTAAGATATAATCCCGAGTAGGGCATTAAATACCATTGTGATGAGATACTCCTTCACTGTTCATTTGGTAAATAGTGTCATCACAGATAAGTTGTAATGCAATTGGTATGGTAAAATATGTTCAGAAGGCTGGCTAGCAGGCAAAACAACAGCACAGATTTCTCCTTCATTGTGCAGAAGATAGCATTAATTGTATGATAAGCTACTTGCAGTACCATTCTGTAAATTGTATTTCACTTCTATGCAATTCTTTTACAGTTTCTTTTTAATAAATTTTAAATGTTAAAAGTAATGTCTGTAAGAATACTATAGCAGTGCAGAGAAGTAGAATTTTTTCAACATTTTCTTTGATGTTTTGACAGTATTTTACATATAATATTTACCATTTTCCTTTTAAGTTCAATTATTTTACTATTCCCATGAGCAATGTGTAGAGTGGATTTTTTTAAATTAAGCCTAAGGATCTTACGGAGACTGCTGAATCCAGTGGTCTCTGGGACTGGGGGGGTTGCTGCTCCTGGCTGCTGAAGCCCACCCATGTACACTCTTTGGACCTGGGAGGGGTCTTAGGCTCACATGTATCCCGGGCGAGTGTATGCACGCACGCACACACACACAGAGAACATATATAATGTAAGTACAGACAGTGAAGTGGACCACTGCCTGCTCACATGTGAGCCCCCCTCCTCTGCATCTTCCTACATGTCCCCCTGGATCCACCCTGATCCTTCCTTTCCCTGCCTTTGGCCAGTTCTGTGAACATCCCATAGCAAGTTTTGCATAATCCCACAAGCCCCTGCTGATATCCCATAAAAAGTTTTGCACGGTCCCATACACCCTCTCAAGTATGTTGTAAAACTCATGATAATCATGTTTCCCCATCTTACCAGTGACAAAGCTCAGGTTGATCGTCTTCAGGGTGGCTTCCTCGGTAGCTCCTTTAATGGCCTGAAGAGTTCTGCTCTTCACTGTTGTCTTGGCTACATTGCTCATTCGGCAATTTTTGTGTGTCTGTGTGTGTTTAATTTATCACTTTCCTTCTTATTTCTTACTTCAGTTATACTGAATAATCCTTAACCAGATGACTTAATGAACCAAATGCTCTCACATTCCACATACTCTTACAGAAACTATCTGTAGCACAGCAAAGCTTGTCATAAAGCTCAGAGGAAGATAACTTTTTGAAATTACTTGCTATTATATTTTTAATTGAGAAGTTTCATCAGTTACCTGGCTGCACCACTAAAAGACTTTGAGGGTTTTTTTTGAAGTGACCATTTCATCGAAGAACTAACAAATCACTTGCAGTACCAGTAGATTGCCTACCGGCAGTATCATTCTGTTAGTGTGTCCTGGTTTTGGCTGGGGTAGAGTTAATTTTCTTCCCGGTAGCTGGTACAGTGCTGTGTTTTGGATTTAGGAGGAGAATAATGTTGATAACACACCGATGTTTTAGTTGTTGCTAGGTAATGCTTACACTAGCCAAGGACTTTTCAGCTTCCCATGCTCTACTGACTGAGAAGGCTGGAGGTGCACAAGAAGCTGGGAGGGGGCACAGCCAGGACAGCTGACCCCAACTGGCCAAAGGGACATTCCATACCATGTGACGTCATGCTCAGTATATAAACTGGGGGAAAGCTGGCCGGGGGGGCTGCTGCTCGGGGACTGGCTGGGCATCGGTCAGTGGATGGTGAGCATTTGCATTGTGCATCACTTCCTTTGTATATTCTTTTTTTATTATTTATTATTATTTTATTTTATTCCCATTATTAAACTGTCTTTATCTCAACCCATGAGTTTTCTCACTTTTACTCTTACGATTCTCTCCCCCATCCCACCGGGGCTGGGGGAGTGAGCGAGCGGTTGTGTGGTGCTCACTTGCCGGCTGAGGTTAAACCACAACAAAGTGAACCTGAGGAGGAGAGTGGAAGGTGTTGAAGCACTACCTTTTTTAACATGGTTTCTTTTTCTAAAGACAGGAAACAGAATTTGAAATGAGAAACTTTTTCTAAAACACAAGTTCTTGATCACTGCTGGACAGGATACTGGTCTAGGGTACAGTTCTGAGGTAAGAGTTCCTGTGATTTTATCAATAATATTAATACCTTGTGGGTAAATGCACAGTATTTATGAAAATAACGTGTCACACTGAGGGAGACCTTCTATATATTCAAAGCAAGTTCATACTGAACTTATCAAATCTGAGCAACGATAGCCGTCATAGGAAACCTGGCTCCACCTGTTGCACTGCACATAAAACTTGGTTCAGCAGAGTATTAGCTCTTTGCAGAGAACATCATCTCTTGGCGTCTATGAGTTCAGCTGGTTTTGAGATGCTGGGTAAAGCAGCAGTAGAATTAAATAACATAAAAATGCTGTGACGTGGATTACTTGAAGCGAAAGCTGTTCTTTATCAAAACAGCTTTGATGTCAGCCTAATAAAGATTTTCCTTAATAGCTGGCACTTGGCAAATGCTTGTAGCTTGGCGAGAAAAAGATCTCAGCTCCTGATTCTCCCAAACTTGTCCTGTGTCAGACCTTTTTAATCTGAATGTGTTGCTTTTGGGCAAATCTTGTGCTCTGTGGTTATCTGTAATAAGTCTTAGCACCAGACATGCTTAAATATAAAAAATGAACTAATTTACAAAAAAGAAAAGGGTAGGGTTTTCAATTACAAGATTTGGAAACAAAACTGGAATAAATAAACACAGGACAGTAAAACATTATTGGGGTGTGTCTGAAAATGCTTTCCTAAGTGTAGTTTAGAATTTTTCTGAGCTATGTGAACCTCATGAACCTCATGAGGTATAACAAGGCCAAGTGCAAGGTCCTGCACCTGGGTCAGGGCAACCCCCGGTATCACTACAGGCTGGGGGATGAAGGGATTGAGATCAGCCCTGCCGAGAGACTTGGGGGGGTACTGGTGGATGAAAAGCTGGAC